TCTTCCTACCAATATGACCGAGTTGAGAAAACAAGGTCAAACAACTTCTATACAACGAAAGGAGACTGCGACCATAAAAAAGGTCACACCATCTTGGTCTTCATACCTTTGCAGAATGAATTCATATTTTGGCTTCTGACGCCTTTTAATTGTACCTGGAATCCCGCATGCTAAAGTCTACAAATAGGAAATCATAAGATCTCAGGGAGAATTAAAACTTCTTGATTAGAACATATATAATATCGACTTTCTTGTAGTTTTATTCCACCTGACTTCATTCCGTTGTATATACACAAGAATGGATCTCACTGCAAGAGTTATCTCAAGCTTAATTGCCTCGTTTAATCATTATTATTCGCGATTTTGGTTCCTGTAGTGTCAAACGACTTAGAGCAAATTCATAAAAATCCTTAAGAAGCTTACAGATCTTGCTTCATTAATAGCACACTCTACCATGTTTATTAATTAAATGCAAGCGATTAATGCAATAGGGCATTATAGCATAAAAAGTGTGTTGCCTTCTTTGGTAACTGGATTCCTTTTGTTACTTTTTAAGGTCCACATTCAAATCCTTGTTGAAAGCAGGCCATACAAAAAGGTATATCAGTCTTTGTGGAAAATAATAACCTTCCATTAGTCTCGCAATTTGTGATCTATATTTCACGCATATTCAATTTAAAGTTGCCTTGAGGTGATTTATCGCAAATAACCCGTAAGGAATTCTTTATAATTAGCAACTGGAATTCGAAAATCTTTCGTAGTTTGCGCTTATGCTTATAAATAGCCCATGCCGAATGATAAAGCTCCCTCCGTTTCAGCAATAATTGCTAATAAAAAACGCTTAAGCCATGTTGATGTTAACAAAAGTAAAATGGAGTAATTATTCAAAGAAAAATGGATTTACTCATGCTAAGCAACATTCTTAGCAGAGTAAGCATTTTCGGAGGCATTCTGGGAATTCAGTATCTGAGTCTGAATGGCCACTTATAAGAATAGTCGAAACTTTGTTATTAATTGCTCATTTTATTTCATGTAGTCATTTGTTAGCTTGCTTATTTGTAATTTTCAACTTTATTTCGCCTGCGACTCATAAAATTTCACTTTTGGTGGTTTAACCTCAGAAAGGTGTAAAGTAAATGCAATATCAAATAAATGCATAAATCGGAACCTGAACGGCTTTTTTGCAAAATTGTATGCTTGATGTGTTCAGTGCTCGCCCACTTTTATGATAGAAACTGTTCTCCATTCGTGCCTCTTGTTTGTTGCCGAATTAGGTGGAGAACAAGGTTATGGATATTACTGCTCAGACGACTTGCACAAACGGGCAGGTCATGCAGGCAACTGATGCCTCCAGAGTCAAGGCAGCAAAGCAGATCAGCAGACCTGAAGACTCTACTCGCTACACGATGCCAGCACCTGGATCCCTTGCTTATGCGTCCAAAGGAGCCAACACAGAAAAGAATGACGCTCAAACAACAGACTTTGGACTGGATGGCCATTGGCAGGGCAAGTGAAAATAGGCGTGTCTTTTCTTACATTTTGTACAGAGGCCTTCTTCCCCATTCGTCATTTCAGTCAACTTTTAAAAAACATTTTCTTAAATTAGGACCAGATTTGGATAAACCGAGTTGGCGTGTATCATCCTCAGGATTTATCCAAGTCCGGGAGGAGCAGAGCCCCTGCTTTAGTAGACCTCGGAGTTAATAAATTGAACTGTATACCCTATTTTGTTTAAGGTGCTCAAGGACTGGTAGTATAATTTTCCCACAACTATATGAGTTGAGCTGACGTTTCCATTCAATTTCACATAGCCTTGCTTTCCCCAAATTGTTCTCATCCAGAGTGGACTGCAGTTTCGACCTCGCGTAGGACTCATCTACACCACTAGCGGGACTCAAACCATGAAACTGCAGAATGCAATCTCAACACGTTAACCAGTACGCCACATTTCCATGAATGCCCTTGGGTAACAGGGCGGGTGTGAATTTCAAGAAAGGTCGGATATTTTCCTATATCACATTCTATGGTGGGAGTGCCGATGAATAAAACTCATATTTGCAATAGCATTCAGTCCTACCAGTCCTTCATCCCCTTAACCCAAATAGGGTGAACATAGCTCATATATATGATTTACTGGTAATCTTGAAAAGCCTACTTATGAAACAACAAATTAGTGTCCACTTAATTAAGTACGTTATAAGGAAAAGAATACCATTTCTTTTTAATTAAGCCAATATTTCGGCTGCTCTTTACTGTAGTCTGAGAACCATTGTCCCAAGAGTCCTAATAAAAGCATTTTTGCTCGTATTCTTACGCCATGGATGAATCTCGGGACAAGGATTATTATTTGGTAGATATCAAATCAAAAGACGTTTCTAAGGCTCTAGTTAATTAAAGAAATAGAGATTTACTACAAGCAAGCCTACCGTCTTGGATTCTTGTCAGAAAAAAGACGAGAAGGTTGACGAAA